TTGTTGCTGTTATATATTATGGAGTCCACTCAACTCATAGTGACCCTATGAACAAAAAATTTGTACATTATCCATCCTGTGCTGTCCTCACTGTCTTTAATATCCTCAAGCTCATTGTTACAGATCCTGTGACAGTCCATGTTTTTAAGGTTTTCCTCTCTTTCTTCTACTTTCCACCTTTCTCCATATGATGTCTTTTTCCAAGGACTGGCCCCTCCCAATATGCCTAAAGAATGTGAGACAAAGTTTCACCATCCTTTCATCTAAGAAGCACCCTGGTTGCTTGCTCTCCAAAATGGACTTATCCTTTTGGTAGTCTGTGGGATATTCTTCTCCAATGGCACAATTCAAAGGCATAGATTAATCTTCTGTCATACTTATTCACTGTCCAACTTTCACATTCATAAGATGATATTGAAAAGACTATGACACCGATCTAATGCACTTTAATCTCTAAACTGACGTGGTTGTTCTTTAGTATTTTGGAGAAGTTCTTAACAATTGATTTTCCCAATGTAGCATGTGTCTTGATTTCTTGATTGCAACTATTATGGGTGTTGACTGTGGAACCAAGTAAAATTAAATAATTGTTGTAAAATGAGCAAGGGATACATGGTGGTGTCTGTAACTGAGCTTTACTAACTTCACAAAGAGAAACTGTCGCTGTCAATGATATCAACAACATCAAGCCAATTATCATGAGGTCAGACATGTCCCCCATGCTCAAGTACCTCTTTCTACTCATTCCAACACCAATCTTACCACTTTACTGTGTCCAAAATCTAATATAAGAGCTCACAGACCACACAGAACCATACTGAAGAAGTCAAGTTTAAATTCAGGTTGGCAGCAGAACACAGTGAGGACAGCTTCCAAAATGTGCTCGCAGGCATTGAGCCTCAAGGCTTTAGGCCAGTGCTACAAAGATCTCATTTATGTTAGTATTTCCTCTTCCTACTGCAGTCGTCCAACAAACTTGGGCAAAAGGCTCTTAGCTCCAGTTCAATAGCATGGCAATCCCAAAGTCTGTTCAATATCATGTCAGGTCTCTGGTTCTTTTCTGTGGCTGAGATGACTATTGCTCATGTAAGTGCTAGTCTGGCTGGCACAAGAGTCCCTTATCTGAAGGACTCGTCATTGCTTGTTCTTTGGTAGTGGTGAAGTTTCTCTTTTTCTGCTGCTGAATCACCTCAACTTCATGGCAAGATTAGCCAATGCCTTTGTGGACTAGATAACATACTCTACTTGTATACTCCTGCTCATCCACCTGGCAATGTAAGTTACTGGATAGAGAAGCCATTTCAGACAACACACCCTTAACAACACAGTTTTCAACTTCATTTCTTTTCACCATCTATCATGATGTGTCTATTGGTTTGGAGGTGAGAATTTTATTTTCTTGATATTGTGATGTAATCCATATTGAAGACTACAGTCCTTGACCTTACACAGCAAATTTTTCAAGTCTTCTTCACTTTTAGTGAGCAAAGTTGTATCATCTGTATACTACAGATTTGTTGATGAGTCCTCCTCCTATCTTGATGTCACAGTATTTTTTAATTATTTGCTCAGCATTCAGATTGAATAATTACAGAGAAAGGGTACAACCCTGACATACATCTTTCCTGATTTTAAACCATGAAGTGCTCCCTTGTTCTGTTCAGACAACGTTTTCCTGGTCACAACATTTTCCTGGTCTATGTATATATTTCATACTAACACAAAGGCTACTTACTCAAAGATAGAAAGGTAAAAAAGAAATTAATAATTACCACATTCTGCAGGGGACTAAATATGGATGACATCTAAATGCAATATATAATAATAAATTGATTACGATAGAAAAAATGTTATTACTGCAAAAACTAAGAACATTGGTATATAGAAAATAGATAAGAAAAGAGTATTGCATTGGTGTTAATTTTTATTGTTTCAGTCACTGTACTGTAGCATTGTAAACGGACTTTCTCATTCTTACAAAGCATGCACTAAAGTATTTTTGAGTAAAAATAATTCAAATAATTCTCTACTCTTGGAAAGGTTTTTATGTGTTTGTGTTTGGAGGAAAATAAAGAGAGATAAACAATACCAAGAGTGACAGAGATTAAAAATAGGATGAAATAGAAATGAATGGCAAATCTTGTGCTATGTTTACAAATTTTTATTAGTTTATAATTGTGTCTAAATTAGAAGAATCTTCGGTAAGGACTTATACTGACAATTCAAAAGTAGGACGTTTAAATTCACCAGCTCCTTTAGGGGAGAATGATGAACAATCCCTGGTGGACAGTCAGCTATGGATTGGTTTGATTCAATGCCAATGAAAGGAAGTGATACTTGTTTGTATGAGGAAATATGGAATGATCCCACACATTGTTCTTCAAAAAATAGGTTTGTTGCAACAAACATTAGTTATGCAATATTTCATTATCTGGTAGTTAGATGAATGTGTATAACATGTAAGGTTAAGATGCCAAGATTTTAAACTTACAAATATGCAATCCAGGGTTCTTTGTAGTGATGTTTATATCAATGGTATTTCTCTCAACATTTTAGTTTCTAAAAATTTACAATATGATACCGTACTTAAAGCATTAGGTATTTTTAGACCTAGAATAATGATGTTTATATTGATACTTAGGAATTTATCTTTCAAATGAATGTAAAATACACAGTTTTTATCTGTTTCAAGGACTCAATATCAAAGCTCAAAGAAAATGTTTCATTATGAAACTTAAAACAAAAAAAAAAGAAAGTCATCTAATCTGGTGTTAAAATATACTATGTCCCTTTAACTTCTGACAAATTGTGAATTAATTTCCAGTTTTTTAGGCGATAGGAGAGACTTTGGGTCATATGGTATTTAGTGGTTTAATTTTTTTTTCCTGTGGTAGATTATTCATCCTTGTTTCCATTTCTGGTTTTAAATGAAACCTCATAGTCCTACTCAGAACATTCACTTTCATATTGTTTTCTGAAACCTGACATTCATAATGAAGGCACAAAATAATTGAGCCAGCATACATATTAAAAAGACATTATATTTTTAATTCCTATTTAGAGATGTTTATAGAAAAATCTGCAATAATTTTATAATTAGTATCAATAATTTGATTTCATAGCCTCATTGGCTAAATCTAAAATAGCATCCAAGCTTAAAATACTTACATCTGGCACTATTTACCATTCTTTCAATATTTCTTTTCCTTTTTTTCTCTTATCCTTGTTCTCTTTTATTTATTTTTCCCCCTCTTAATTGAGCTTTTGAAGAAGTGGAAGCCATTATGGAGGTCACAGCTCGGTCAGTTGGTTTTGCAGAACTGTATGACTGAATCAGAGAACAAATGCTTGGATCAATTTCACAATTAGAGATTTGGTCATCTGATGTCAGAAGCACACCTGTCCAATATGGAGCAATTAAGTCACTGAGAAATGAAACCTATCAGGTTGGGAAATGACAACCTCTTCAAAACATGGTAATGACAACCTCTTCAAAACATGGTACTGGCAAAACTGAACTGCTACATGCAGAAAGCTGAAACAGGACCCACATCTCACACTATACACAAAAATCATATCAAGTGGATAAGAGACCTGAGAGTAAAGGCCCAAACCATAAAGTTCATAAAAGACAAACTGGGATTAAGCTTAGAAGGCCAAGTCTATGGTATAAACAGCCAGAAATGCACAATCTGAAGAGAATAAAGTTAATGAATGTGATCTTCTAAAGATTAAATCCCTGTGTATATCAAAAACGTTTTTCCAACAGGGTGAAAATAAAACCTACCTACTGAGAATAAACATTAGTGTCTCATAAGCAATACTACCTACTGAGAATAAGCAATAGTGTCTCAGACAGAAGTCCCATAAGAAAAGTTTATAGAATACTCCTGGGCTCTGTAAGAAAAAGACTGATAGCCCAATTGCATACTGAGCAAAAGACATGGAAAAATTTTTCACAAAGGAAGATAATTCAAATGGCCAACAGACTCATGGAGAAATGCTCCAAAGCACTGGCAATAAGAGAGATGCAAATCAAAACCACCACAATCATGCAGTAGCAAAATTTAACAAGACAGCAAGTAACAAATGTTCGAGAGGATGTGGAGAAACAGGAACTCTTACCCATTATTGGTGGGATTGTAAAATGGTGTAACCACTCTAGAAGGCAGTTTGGCACTTCCCCAAAAAGCTGAACATAGAAATTCCATGTGACCCCGCTATTCCATTGCTTGGAATATAACCCAAGAAAATGAGAACTGAGGCTAAAATGGAAAGTTGAGCACCACTGTTCATAGCAGCATTATTCACCATCACAAGAACTTATAAACAGCCCTGATATCTCACCACAAACAAATGAACTGAGAAGTTATGGTACATTCATACAACGGAATAGTACACAGCACACAGGAGCAATGATTTTGTTCCTTACTACCTAACTTGGGAAGGACTAGAGAGTATTATGCTGGATGAACTCAGTTCCACAAGAAAAAATATTGTATAAAACCATTATTGAAGAAAGAGTATGAGGATCCAAGGCAGGGGCTTGGGGGGTGGAAATAGAGAGGTGAAGATCAGGGAATAGGGTGTTAAACACAGGGTTGCACAATTTGATGGGTGGGTGAGGTGAAGGAAACGGGAAGGATATTTTGTGGAAAAACAATGTATTCAAATTTGTAAATAAAACAGTATAAAATTTTAAAAAGGACAAAATCAATTATGTGTAGTTACAAATATCCCTTTGGTTTAGAACTAGGAAAATAACACAACAGGCATTCCCCAGGTGAGGAAGAACACCCTCTCCTTGGAAGGAGGTGAATTCCCACTGAATATCCCCGTTTCTGCTGGGGATCTTAGTTCCCATTCCCTAAAGGGAGAACCCCTTAGGTTTCTTAATTGTGTTTTTCAGGGATGGGAATAGAATTGAGAATGCTTTCATGTTGGGGAAATCTATCTGGCTCCATTTTTCTTAACAAAAAAAAATGGAAGGGAATCAAAGATTAGGGGATTCTCAAGGTATTTCTTTTAATGGCTTCTGTCTCTTCATCCATGTAGATGACAAGTTTACGTGAAGAGACAAAGTCTATTGATATCATTTCAATTAGCCTTTCCCAATATAGTTAAACATATGATTATCTTATTCGACTAGATAATACCAGCCTATTCCAACTCATCAGTGGATTTTAGCTGAAGGCAGGGAATACCAGAGGAATGTCTATCTGTGTTTCATTGATTATGCAAAGGCTGTGTGGATCATAACAAACTGTGGCTGACTCTGAGAAGAATGGGAATCCCAGAACACTTGATCATGCTAATGAGAAACCTATACTTGGACCAAGAGGCAATGTCATCAGAACAGAGCAAGGAAACACTGCATGGTTCAAAAATGGGAAGGGTGTATGCCAGGGACGTGTCCTATCTTCATACCTTTTCAATCTATATGCAGAAGAGATTATCCAGGAGGCTGGGCTGTGTGAGAAGAAGTGCGGCATCAGGATTGGTGGACGATTCATCAACAATCTGTGTTATGCCAGATGACACAACCCTGTTTCCTGAAAGAGAAGAGGACCTGAAGCGCTTGGTGCAGAGGGTCAAAGACTGCAGCCTTCAATATGGATTGAGGTTCAATATAAAGAAGACAGATTCTCACTACTGAGCCAATTGGCAGTACAGGATGAATGGTGAAGAAAATGAGATTGTTAACAGCTTTAGTTTGCTTGGCTCCACAGTCAACACTCTTGGCACCAGCAGCCAGGAAATTAAAAGACATATTGCCCTGGGAAAGTCTACTGTCAGGGACCTCTCCAAAGTATTGAGGAGCAATGGTGTCACTCTGGAGACTAAGGTGTGCCCGATACAGGCCATGGTCTTTGCAATCACTTGCTATGAATCAGAGAGCTGGACAATGACTAGGGAGGATAGAAGGAGAATTGATGCCTTTGAGCTATGGTGTTGGAGAAGAGTATTTAATGTACCATGGACTGCTAAGAAAATCAACAGGTTTGTCCTGAAGAGGGTTAAACCAGGCTGCTGAGGCTTCGTCTGACATACTTTGGACATGTTGCAAGGAGGAACCAGTCCTTGGAGAAGGACATCACATCATGCTTGGGAGCATGGAGGGACAGCACAGGAGGAGAAGACCCTCTATGAGGTGGACTGATTCAGTGACTGGGGCAGTGTGTCAGAGACAGTGAGATTGGTACGGGACAGAGCTGGGTTTAGGGTTGTTGTACATAGGGCTGCTATGAGTCACAAGCAACTTCAAGGCACATAACAACAACAACAACAACTAATTTATTTACAAAATTCAAATACAAATTTGAACAAATTCTTTCACTTTCCCTCACTCCCAGTATATCAAATTGTAAAACCAGATGATTAATCCCCCTGGCTCCTGCACATCCAAATCCCTCTGCTTCCAGCCTCTTCCACCCCTCTTGGATACTTATACTCATTTTATAATAATCGTTTTATACAATATTTATCCTTGTGGGACTGAGTTAGTTCACTCAGCATAAAGCTCTCCAGTCTCTCCCAAATTACATAATAATTTACAAAATCATTTCTCCTGAGTGCTGCATAGTACTCCATTGTGTAGATGTACCATAATTTCTCAATCCATTCATTTGTGGTTGGACATTTGGGCTCTTTCCATGTTCTTCCAATGGTGAATAATGCTGCAATGAACACTGGTGTACAAATGTTTGTGCCTCGGTTCTCATTTTCTCAGGGCATATTCCAAGTTATAGAATAGCTGGGTCATAAGAAATTTCTATGTTCAGCTTTTTGAGGAAGCACCAAACTGCCTTCCAGTGTGTTTGTACCATTTTACAATCCCACCAACAATGTGTAAGAATTCTTTTCTCACCACATCCTGTCCTGTGGAGGTAGTGCAACTAGGGTGCTCCTTTGAGGCAAGATGGGTGACATTTCATCTCACATACTTTGGACATGCTGTCAGGAGAGGCCAATCCCTGGGAAAGGACCTCGTGCTCAGAAAAGTGGAAAGTTAAAGGAGAAAACCCCCACAAGATATATTCACACAGTGACTGAAATAAAAGGCTTGATCCCAGAGGACATTAACAGAATGGCACAGGATCAGGCAAGGATTAGATCTGTTGGATCTAGGGTCCCCATGAGTTGAAGACAACAGCACCTAAAACAACAACAACACTGGAAAGTCCCAGGTAATACAACGAAACTGTCACGCTCAGTAAGTAAAACCAGGTAGCTCCATTTCATTTCTGTTGTTTGTTTCTTTGTTGACGCTATATAATTATATAAGGAAACATTCAAATAATACCCAGTTGGAGGCAATGGAGATGAAAGAGAAAATTCAAGATGATTTGAAGGAATTGGCATAAGAACCCCAAGGCCCCAGGAATTGATGGAACACTAATTGGGATATTTCAACAAACAGATTTCCTGGACATGCTCACTAAGTTACACCAAGAAATTTAGAGGACAGCTACCTGGACAACTGACTGGAAGAAAGCCATATTTATTCCCACACTAAAAAAATGTGATCCAACAGAGTATGAAAATGATCAAACAGTATCATTTTTATCACAGGCATGAAAATGCTGGGGATCCAAAAATGGCTGGAACAGGACATAGACAGAGAACTGCCAGAAATATAAGCTGGGTTTAGAAGAGGCCATGGCACCAGTGACATCATAACCAAAGTCAGATTAATTTTGGCTGTAAGCAGAGAGTCCCAGAGGAATGTCAATCTGTATTTCATTCACTATGCAGAGGCATTTGACTGTGTGGATTACAACAAATTATAACTAACCTTAAGAAGAACGGAAAACCCACAACATCTGATTGTGCTCATGCAAAGAGCAAGGAAACACTGCATGGCTCAAACTCAGAAAAGGAGTGTGTCATACCTTTTCAATCTATATGCAGAATAAATCATTCATGAATCTGGGCTTTATGGAGCGGAATGTGACTTTAGGATTGGAGGAGAACTAATCAACAACCCGTGTTATAACTTTGCTTGCTGAAACTGAGGAAGACCTGAAGTGTTTGCTGCAGAAGGTCAAAGACTGCAGTCTTCAATATGGATAACAGCTCATCATCAAGAAAACAAAGATTCTTACTATGCGGCCAGTTGGCAGCACCATGATAGATGGGAAGAGATTGAGATTGCTAACAGTTTCAGATTGCTCAGCTCCACAATCAACACTCTTGGCATCAGCAGTCAGGAAATCAAAAGAATTGCATTGGGAAAGTCAGCTGTCAGGGATCTCTCCAGAGTGCTAGAGGGCAACAATGTCAGTCTAGAGACTTAAGTGTGCCCGGCCTAGGCCATGATCTTTACAATAACTTATTTATGGATCAGAAAGCTGGACAATGAATAGTGATGATAGAAGAAAAAAATCAATGACTTTGAATTGTGGTGCTGGAGAAGAGTATTGAACATACCAAGGACTGACAAGAGAACAGACATGTCTGTCCTGGAGAGGGTGAAAACCAAATTACTTCTTCAAAGCAAGGACTGTGAAGCTCTGCCTGATATACTTTGGGCAATTGGCTTCCAAGGCTATAATGTTTGTATAAGCAGACTGCCATACAGAGCAGCTAGTGGGCATAACCTCCAATCTTTAAGAAAGAGTCTAACCACTTACCCAGAGCTTCACCAGAACTCCTTTATCATCCTTACAGATAAAGGTTGTGGACAGTCACACATCCCACCAAAGGATTCTTATCACTTCCAACAAATATCAGGAAGCAGAGGGCAGTAATCACTGAGCTTCCAAACCAAAAGTAGGCTCATTCTTATCACCGAGCCCTCCAAAGATCTCTGGTTAGATTACTGATAAATTTAGGGCCAAGGCAAGGATGTGTCTTTTTCAAGATTAGTGTAAGAACAATCCTAACTGTTCTATGCTAATAAATATGCATATGTGTTTAATCTTTCTATAATAAACTTTTTTTCTAAAATACCCAACAATTTTTAATCAAAAAATGTTTAGACACATTTTGAAGGAATCTTAGGGAAAATCCAGAGGCAAATTCAACTTATTCCAAGAAAGGAACAGGAAATCAAATCACTGACCAAACATACTGGCTGTATGTGTTTGGTTAATTTGTGGCATAGGAATGATTCCTAAGCATTGATGCTAAGTCTTCTATCTGATCTTCTTGTATTTGTTGTTAAAATTAATTTTTCCCTGAAATCCCCATTGTGTTTTATATGTCTCAATATAAATCCTTTTCATAATTGTACGGAGTATATAGTTGAAGCATGAATAATTCTCACAACTCCAAAATTGGAAGAATTATTTACTGGTAAAATTATAGGACAATAAAAGAGCAATAAATGGTATGCTATCACTTGTAGATCCTTCTGTAGTTAAGCTTGTTTTCATTATCTATACAAATATTATTTCACCTTTTCTGTAAAACAGTAGTGATATGTCTAATCACAACGTCACCCTCCAAAAAGTTGACTTCAGTATGTATCAGGGTCACTATGAGTCAGAATTGACTCATTGACTGACAGTGCTGTTTTGGTTTCTTGATCAATGTATACATTTATGTAACATTGCTTCCCTTTGATCCCTAGTACTAGCTGGTTTTACACCTTTTCTGAGTGATGTTGTGACCAGCCCTGGGTCATTCAAAGCCATTATTCTTACAAGACTCCTTTGGTTTAAAGAAGCAAAATCCCACTCAGATAGATGAAAGGGAAGTCAATTAAAGAATATAAAACCATCCCAGAATAGCTGGACAGAAAATGAAGTGTAACTATGTCTTTTGTGATTTGTAATTAGAAGATGAGAAACCAAGATTACTGAGGTTTTCAAGAACTGCCTGGGAGCTTTTGTTTTGTTTTTCTGTAGGTATATGCTTATTCTCTCTTCCAGTCAGTTGGCCAAGTGGTTGTTTTCCAGATTTCTTGGCACAACTTGGTGAGCATGTAAAGGGCACCAGCTATTTGCAGAAATATGTCAACTGGTAAACCATCTATTTTGGGGGCCTTATTTTTTTGCTATTTCCTTCAAAGCAGCTTGAACTTCTTGAACTTCTACCTTCATAGGCTCTTGCTCATATGTTGTTTCATTAAATTCTTCTGTCTGCCAATTCCTTTCAATACAGTGACTCAGTATATTCTTTCCATCTTCTTTTAATACTTCCTGGATCATTTAATATCCTACCTAAAGGGTTACCCAACAGAGTGTGGAAACTATAGAACAATATCATTGATTTTGCGTGCAAGCAAGATTCTACTGAAGATTATCCAAAAATGACTGGAGCAGCACATCAGCATAGAACAGCCAGAAGTCCAGGCTGGGTTTAGAAGGGGTCATGGTACAGGGATATTGTAGCTAATGTTAGATGGATCTTAGCTGAAAGTAGGGAGCACCAGAGGAATGTCTGTGTTTCATTGATTATGCAAAGGCATTTGACTGTGTGGATCATAACAAGCTATGGCTGACTCTGAGAAGAATGGGTTACCAGAACACTTGATTGTGCTAATGTGAAAGCTATACTTGGACCAAAAGGCAGTTGTCCGAACAGAGCAAGGAAACACTGCATGGTTTCTATGAAGAGGATCAGAAAGGCAAACATCAGGCAAAAGAGCCCCAAGGCCTCTGAGAGGACAGAGCCCAGAATGACGTAGGAAAAGAACTGCTGCTTCAGAGAATTCCTGGCGTTATCAATGATGAGGCTCCTAAACACAGCCCCAATACCAGCTCCACCACCAGCCATTCCAGCTGTGGCAGCCCCAGCCCCAATAAACATGGCTGCTGTTTCGGTATCTCTTGAGATGGTGCTGGTTTGGAAGCTGTGACTAGAAGTAAACGAAACCAAGGAATGTGGGTCTGTCAAGCACCTGAAGTTCTCACCTGTCAGTATCTCTGGTTTCAGCGCCACTGTAGACAATGGATGGCTCAGCAGCTGAGAGGTGCTCCTGACCATGGAAGGTGGGGAGATAAACTTGGTGCACGTGTACATTTTCAGGGGATGAGGGGCTGTGGCAGGAAAGCTGCTCCTAGTGCAGAGAAGACGGAGAGGAGCTCTCTAGAACTTCTTATATATAATAGAAAAGCTAGTCAAACCATCTCATTGATGTTAAAGGCCTCAAACCTGTTCCTGAGATGGTTCTGAAATTCGAGTGGGACAGACTTAAGGTCAAATTTTTGTTCCTGTGGATTTGATTTTATTTTCTTCAACTTCAGCTTAAACTTGCATATGAGTAGTTGGTCTGTTCCACAATCAGCACCTGGCCTGGTTTTTACAGCTGATATTGAGCTTCTCTAGCGATTCTTTCCACAGATGTCATTGATTTGCTTTCCATGCATACCATCAGGTGAAATCCATGTGTATAGCCTGCCTTTGAGTTTCTTATAAAAGGTATTTGCAATGAAAAAAATCATTGAATGTGCAGAATTCTATCATTCTATCTCTAGCCTCATTTCTATCACCAAGTCCATGATTTCCAACTACTGATCCTTTTAGCTGTTCCCAACGTTTGCCTTTGGGTCACCCATTTTTATCAATACATCTTGATTACATGTTCGATTGATTTCTGACTGCAAAAGTTGGTAGAAATTTACTATTTTCTTTGGCTCTAGTTGTGGATGTATATGTTTGAATGATAGTGGTATTCACTGGACTTCCTTGTATTCATATGCATATTATCCTGTCACTCATCACATTGTATTTCATGATGGATCTAGAAATGACTTTTTAATTATGAAAGCTACCCCATTTTTTCCTCATCTTTTCATCCCAAGCATATTAGATCATAAGATGATCTGATTTAAAATGTCCCATGCCAAGCCATCTCACATCACCAATACCTAGTTACCTAGTATGTCAATATTTATGTGTTCCATTTCTTTCTTAATGTCGATTTTGCTACATTCATGCTTTTCACATTCCGCATTCCAATCACTAGTGTCTGCTTATAGCTGTTCCTCTTTCTTTGTGTTTCCATATCTGAGATCTCAGTCTCAATTGCCATGTCTGCTAGTTTAAGTGTGTTCTATGGTACATAGGGTTTTCAAAGGCCTGTTATTTCAGAAGTGGATGGCCAATTGCGATTCCTAGTCTGTCTTAATTATTTTTTTTATAATAATAGTATCTGACAGACAAGCCTTTTACAAAAAGGAGCAGATGAAAGACATTTACTCAATAGAAAAATGACGGCTAGATTCAGTGTTGCTACCCACCTTTGCCATGTGTGTCTTGACTCACCCCTTTCCCTATCAACCAGCATTCCATTATGCTTCTGCATATACCATTCAACACCTCTCTCCCCTTAACAAGCCTTGGATATGATGGCTTAAGTCTCAAGCTGTCAAGGTTTCTGTGATTCTGAACACCTCATGGTCCTACCAGTCTCTTATGATGCAGCTAGTGTCTCTTGAATTTAAGAGTCTCTGAGTACAACTAATCTGATATCAAGAATATCATCCTTGAAGAATGCGAAAGATCTTTTCAAAGACAGAAGAGGAAAAAAGACCAAGATGGATGTCAGATGAGACTCTGGATATTGCATTAGAGTGCTGAGAAGCCAAAGCTAAGGGGAGAAATCAAGACATTAAAGAACTGAATAGAAAATTTAAAAGGGCAGCTCTGGATGACAAAGCAAGGTAATATAATGAAATGTGCAAAGAGTTGGAGTCAGAAAATCAAAAGGGAAGAACTCATTCAGCATTTCTAAAGCTGAAGGAATTGAAAAACAAATTCAAGCCACAAGTATGCGGAATGCTTTGGGCAGAATGTTAAATGATCCAAGAAGCATTAAAAGAAGATAGAAGGAGTATACAGAGTCACTAAACCAGTGAAATGACTGACACAGAAGAATTTCATGATGAATGAATGGAAATCCAAAGCCTCTGTAAATTTTCACTGAAATTAATAACAAATTTAAATTTAAAAAAAATTAAGTTAGAGTAAGGATGGCAATGGATTTATAGTTGCTCAAGCTAATAACACTATATCGTGGCATGGAGGAGGAATAGTGGAAATGTATCCACATTTACAACATTCCTCTTACCAAAACCATTTATGGAAAATAGGTACTGCATTGGAACATGTATCTCTGGGTTGGAAATGATGATATTGTTAATACTTCTAGCCTTAAGCTTAAAAGATTGTAATGTTCAAAATTATTAATGTTATACATTTGCTTAAATTTTTCCCTCTTTTAACAACTGGGATCTAGAGGGAAGAGAAAAGACCAGAGAATGGCCAAAATTATTGGGGCAGCTATTGCTGCCAGTTTAGGGCCTGTGTCAGGAAAAGGAACTCTTTCTCATATACAGTGCCACCCAAAGGTAATAAAGGAGGTCAGAATTGCTTCCACTGTGGAGAGGTGGGCCACTTCAGTAGACAGTGTCACAGACGAGAGCCACAGATAGGCAAGGGAGTAGAGAGGAAGCTCTCACTCACTTGCTTTAAGTGTGGCTCTGAAGGACACTTGGCCAAGGTGGCTGACATCAGGTCCTCGTGGCAAACAGGACTGACAGGCCCCAGCTCCCAGCTGGAAACAAAGGAGGACGCTTCAACGATTTAGATCCTCCCAGAAGAGCTGTGGATGAGCATTAACATTACTGGTAAGTATATTCATTTTCTCCTGGACACAGAGCCTACTAATTGGTCCTAAAAGCCTTCTGAGGTCCCAGCTCTTCTCACTATTTCTTAGTTGTTGGAACGGACAGAAAACCTCCTAAGCAGTTCCTTACTTCACCTCTACCTTGCATGTGAACTTCCAAGTTGTAAAACAGCCCAGTGGTAGATGGAATTTGCTCCAGGACTTAAGAACCATAAATGACATAGCTGAGCCTCTACATCTTGTGGTTCCTAACCTCTACACTATAATAGACAAAGTGCTAGTCTATAGGCCTTTTATTGCAAGAACCACCTTCCCTCTGTAACTTGATTTGTGCTACTATTAGAACCTCTACTCGGAATATTATTGCTTGTTAATTTTTGACTCATATACTTTTAACTTGTTAGTTAAATTTGTGTCTTCTAGGCTGCAATACTTCCATGATACATCTTCAAGGATATGAACATGTATGGCTAAGCACAATTGATAACAGTGAATCTAAATTCCAAAATCAATCTCCATAATAGTCTATGTGTTTCCTACTACCAAAGGGGCCCTTTAGAGTAGTGAGAGAAGATCTTCACCCTGAAACCCACAGCGTCCCTTTTCAGCAGGAAGTAGCTAAGAGAATACGCCATCCCCTTTTCCTTATGAATCAGAGTGAAGTCTCTCTCATGGAGGAGTGATAGGGAATGGTAAAGGACACACTGACAAAGGAGATTAATCAGAACTGGCTTTGACAAGCACTGTGGCAATTGGACAATTAAAACAGATATTCGGGTGGGGGGAGAAGAAGAACGAACTGGGGAGGAGGGTAGAGAAAATAGTGCAACAATGAATGAATGAAAACCAAAAATCTCTGTAAATGTTCATTAAAACTAACAAAATTTAATAATAATTTTAAAAAAAAGAATTTCATGAAACAACATATAAGCAAGAGACTGTGGTGATGAAGGAAGAAGTTCACGTCGCTCTGAAAGAATTGGCAAAAAACAAGGCTCCAGGAGTTAATGGCATACCAATTGACATACTTCAACAAATAGATGCTGCTCTGGATGTGCTCACTAAGTTGTGCCAAGAAATCTGGAAGACAGCCACCTGACCAACTAACTGGAAGAGATTGATATTTGTTCCCATTCCAAAGAAAGGTGACCCGAAAGAGTATGGAAATTATGGAACAATATCATTAATATCACATGCAAGCAAGATTATGCTGAAAATTATCCAAAAATGACTTGAGCAACATTTCGACAGAGAACTGCCAGATGTGTAAGCTGGGTTTAGAATAGGCCAGGTACTAGAGGTATTATAGCTAATATTAAATGGATGAGGCAGAAAGCAGAGTGTACCAGAGGAATGTCTGTGCTTCATTGACTATGCATAGGCTTTTGACTGTGTGTATCACAACAAACTGTGGCTGACTCTGAGAAGAAACAGAATCCCAGATTGTGCTTATGTAAAAACTATACTTGAACCAAGAAGCAGTTGTCAAAACGGGGGAAGGAGATATTGCATGGTTCAAAATCAGGAAGGGTGGCCGCCAGGGATGTATTCTGTCTCCACACCTTTTCAATATGTACGCAGAAGAGATCATCGGGGTGCTGGGCTGTACCAGGAGGAATGTGGCATCAGGACTGGAAGAAGATTCATCAACAAATTGTGTTATGCAGATGACACAACCCTGTTTGCTGAAACTGAGGAGGACTTGAAGTTCTTGCTGCAGGTCAATGACTGCAACCTTCAATATGGATTGAAACTCAACATAAAAAAAATAAGATTCCCACCACTGGACCAATTGGCAGCATCATTATTGATGGTGAAGAGATTGAGATTGTTAACAGCTTTAGTTTTCTTGGCTCCACAATCAACACTTTTGGTACCAGCAGCCAGGAAATCAAGAGATGAATTGCAGTGAAAAAATCAGTTGTCAGGGACCTATCTAGAGTACTGAAGAGCAACAATGTCAGGCTGGAGACTAAGGTGAGCCTGATCTAGGCCATAATCTTCGCAGTTGTGTGCTATTCGTCAGAGAGCTAAACAACGACTAGGGATAACAGAAAGAGAATTGATGCCTTTGAGCTGTGGTGGTGTAGAAGAGTATTGAATGCTAGGAGAACAAACAGGTTCATCATGGAGAGGGTGAAACCGAGCTGATCCTTTGAGGCAAGGATTCTGAAGTTTCGCCTGACATACTTTGGGCATGTAGCAAGAGGGACGTCATGTTTGAGAGGGTGGAGGGACAGCGCAAGGAAGACCCTCAATGAGATGGATCAATTCAGTGATTGGGATAATGGGAGTAGTTGTGTCAGAGACAGTGAGGTTGGCACAGGATAGAGCAGAGTTTAGGGCTCAATGGTACATAACAACAATCAAAGCATGCATTAACTGACTAATTAATTAGATTAATATACTTAATTTGTCTGTGGGACAGATAATGATATATATGCCTAGT